TTCCTTCTTCTCCACAGTAGTAACAAAGTCTACCCCCACCCCCCCCCCACTCCCCACCCACATTCCATCTTTTAGTTAAAATTTTCTGTCTAATTCTCAAACACTCGTAACATCCTTGAACACCCATCTATCTTTCGAACTCGGTATGAAATTTGCAATTTTGTTAGAATGTTCACTGCTGCTATAGTTTTTTGTTTTCCGCTTGACTAATTGGAGGGAATTTTCATCCTTAGGTCAAGAAGAAGGTAAAAGTACAAATAGTTGTTATTTTCCCCTCTAATCCTGAGACGCTTCTACACATTGCAATAGGGAAATTCATCTAGACACGCGAGGAAATTGAGAAGGGAAACCCAGCTGTCATCGTGAATTATGGAATACGTGTCTTCTATGAATAAATTCTTACTTGATTTGTACTTTAAAGTATTCCTACGCGTCACTCCAATTTAGCAAAAATTTTCAGCCTTGATGAAACGTGATTTGAATTAGCATACGTATATATATATATATAGTTGCGTGGTTTAAAGAAAACCTCGTATTCTCTGCTACGTTGAAAACGATGTTGGGACTCACGGGGTGTGCGATAGACTTACCTCCACGTGGTGCACCCTGGGTAACGTATACTCATACGGCAAAAAAGTCTATTAACAGGCAGTTGACTTCTCACTTCAAACTACCATCATCTCACTATATGTCATATTCGACTACTTCCATAATACTCACCTCACCTTTTTTCTACCATTGTGTCTGCCTGTCTCTTTTACATCTGTGAACTACTCTTCTGTTCCCCCTCCCCTCTCGACTTTTTTCAATTTGATGTACCTTCCTCTCTGTGAAGCCTGAAGTCAACTAAAGAGCCAATGATAACCATCAAGACACCTGCCATTTGATATAATAATAATGTTGGGACTCACATCTTCCTTAATTCCAACAATAGAGAAAATATGTAAATTCATAAGCAGAGGAAAAGTGAAATCTAATAGGAGAAAGTTGAAATTAAATTAAGTTGTAAATTAAATTTACTTTTTCAGCTCGCAGAATGATCACCTAAAAGGAGATTTTAAAGCCACGCTTTCAAAATTAAAATTTCATGATTCGTTTCAGGGATTACTGAACAATCATCTTTTGATTTGAAAGATTATAATAATTGGCTGTAAGAGTACTTACTTTAAGAAAGAAAATTTTAATTTAAAAATAATAATAATATTTGCTCAAAGGACATTAGATTCTTACCTTTGTTATGACCCCTGTATCTGCAAATACTGCGCTTTTACAAAGATAAGAAAAAGTAAAAAGTAAATTAATGAAAGTCATCTTATAGGGGAACTTTCTTCAGAAAAATTTAACCTTATCAACTATATTATAAATGATTTAGACATTTTGCATTTTTGCAAATCACCCATCTGAATATTGCGTGAAATTTATTTATTTATTTACATCAAATGGCAAGCGTTTTGATGGTTTTCATTAGCCCTTTAGTTGACTTCAGCCCTCACAGAGGGGTGGGAGCATCAAAGTGAGAAAAATTCGAGAGGCTGAGCAGAAGAGAGATTCAAAGATGTAAAAGAGATAGACACAAAGTTAGAAAAAAAGATGAGGTGAGTGCTGTGAAAGTAGTCGAATATGGTATACAGTGGGGTGATGGTAGTTTGAAGTCAGAAGTCAACTACCTGTTTATAGACTTTTTTGTCGTATAAGTATACGTTGCCCAGGGTGCACCACGTGGAGGTAAGTCTATCTCGCGTGAAATAAAAGTACAAATTGTACTCAGTGTTTCTGTGTTTGTTCATCTCAGTTCGAGGGCTTTAGAGTGTAAACTTATTCTTCCATTTCAATAGCCTCATCACTTTTATTAAATCCAGGCGTTTAGCTGTCTTTATATCTTATGTTTGCCATGGAGAGAATGATTAACACCCGTCATCGATATTACCTTGAATGGATGGACGCGTTTGATAACCGATTTTTCTCAAATTTCTACAAATTTTTACAAGACGAATAGGACGAATAGTGAGGACGACAGGATGTGTCTTAGAAAAACATTGGCACTGAAAGGCAAACGAAGTGGGTGATAATTAGTGTTGTGTCTTTGTTTACCAAGAGGGAATACGAAAGTAGGATGATTTAGAAGTCCACTGTAAACACATCTCACTCAAAGCCACAGGTTTACGTCACTTAAAAATGAAAGGACATTTTATATCTCACATTATGGGGTGTGTGATAGACTTACCTCCACGTGGTGCACCCTGGGCAACGTATACTCATGCGGCAAAAAGTCTATTAACCGGAAGTTGACTTCTGACTTCAAACTACCATCACCCCGCTGTATGCCATATTCGACCTCTCACAGTACTCATCTCACCTATTCTCTATCTTTTCTACCTTTGTCTTTGAAATACTTCTGTCCCCCCCCCCCTCTCAACTTTTTTTCCCTTTAATGTTCCTCCTCCACTCTGTGAAGCTTAATGTCAACTAAAGGGCTAATGATAGCAATTAAGAGCCTTCCATTTGATATAAATAAATAAATAAACATCTCACATTGCTATGCGTTGACCACAGTTGAAGGTAGATATATCGCGACCTCCTGGGGAATGCAAATGAGATTAAAGCGTGCCGACCGATCGAACCACATCAAATATAATTGATCTATGATCGTGTTAAAACGGGATTGCCGTGAAAATATTTGGAAAAAAGTGTCAACAACTTGAATTTCAACTTGAAAAGGTATTTGATATGAGTATTCTAAGGCCCATTTATATTTTGAATCCTGAGACATTAGACAAATATAATCATTTTAAATTAATCCCAGAGAGTGGAATAGAAGGATGAAAATAAAATAATTAGACCATAAAAAACAAATTTATTTGTTTACATTTATTCCAAAACTTTTTCAGTAGACCGTAGTTAAAAAATTGCAAATTTTGCACTTATATATATATATATATATATATATATATATGTATTTGTTCATTTATTTAAAAAACCCTATTCACAAACCTACTCTAAAAATACGTCGAAATATTAATTTTAACTTTTTGGTTTAAAGATCAGTTCACCATAGCAACATGTCTCTGTTAAATCAATTTAAATTTTCCCTTAAATGCAACACAACCCAATCACTTTTTTAGCATAATTTGTAAGTAAAGAACGGAGCCACTCAAATTCATTTTTAGAAAGTGCGATTTTATGTCTGCAACAGAATCTGCAGCCGGTGGGTACAGCTAAATTGTTTCCACAATTGTCTCCTTAAAAGGTTATAAAAAATGTGTGTGTATCAAATTCGTTCACTATAATTAGACCCGACTTTGAATGTTATTGCCACCCTCTTATGCATTTAACTGATAACGTCTAATTTTAGCCAAACAATAAACGGACATTTTGTCTTCAAATTCAAGTTGTCCATTCTTTAATGTCTATTAAAAAAAATAGATTTTTTCCATCATAACTCATTATTTAATCCACCATCTTATAGAAAAATTTGAATTCGAGTTGTAAAGAAGCTGAATCTCCTATGTGTTTCCATCCATGTTAATCAACTTGAATGTGTCGTGTTCTTTGTGATATTTATCATAAATTTCAGGCTTTATGGTAATTATTTTTCAGCATTTTATTTGATTTCGGACTTCACAAAGGGGAGGAATATCAAAGTTACAAGAAGTCGAGGGAGAGGAGGAACAAAAGAGTGATTGACAGATTTAAAAGTGACAGACAGACAGACAGACAAAAAGGCAGAGAAAATATGAGGTGAGTGCTGCGGAAGTGGTGGAATACGACCTACAGTCGGTTCATGGTGGTTTAAAGTCAATTGCCAGTTTTAGACATGTTTGCCTTATGAGTAAACATTGCCCAGGGTGTACCACGTGGAGTTAAGTATATCACGCACCCTCTAAGTAACACAAAGACCATTTCAGATCTCACAAACTGAGGTAATTTATAGTGATAGATGACTTTGGACTTATGGCTCCAATAAACAGGGTAACGGATTTAAAAACGCCTTCAAACACGATTTTTGGAAGTACTATGAGTTTTTTTGGCTATTTTCTACCAATTCGCAAAATCATCTTCATTTTATAAAAGTAATACCTATAAAAGAGATTTTAGACGCATCAAACTATTTTAAAGGTATTGAGAGCCCAAACCTAACTTGACTATACCAATGAGCCTCATCCACGTTGGAACATTCTGGTACATACCATAGTGGAAGAGGCACGTGCAGACCTCTTAGCAAAATCAATAATCGATAGTTATTACAGGATCAGCACTCTCTGTGATATTATAATCAAAACGGCAATAAACGCGATTCTTGTCATACGCTCTTTATTGACAATGTTCAGTTTCCTTTGGATCATTTTGGGTACAATCATATGCAGAGGGAATATTGCCACTAGAAGTTGTTGAGGTACAGTCAATACACCATCCTCTGCAATAGCAATATCAGTAAAACCTCCATCACCAAGGTTTGACAGTTTAGAAGTCAATCGCGCTTTTGCCAAAGGGAATTTCTGAGTAAAAGTGAGAAGTCCTTCAGAATAACTTAAATAACGCAAATAAAAGAACCATTCCACCCCCTCCCCCCTTCCACCCCCCCACCTCCACAATTTTTTAACTGCGTCGTTAACCTTCAACACGAAATTTAAGACCTCGGGGGTTTTATTTACTTATATCAAATGGCAGGCGTTTTGATAATTATCATTAGCTCTTTAGCTGACTTCGGGCTTCACAAAGAGGGGGAGAAACATCAAAGTGAGAAAAATTCGAAGATGTAAAGGAGAGACAGACACAAAGGTAGAACAAAGGTGAGGTGAGTACTGTGGAAGCGGTAGAATATGACATACAATGAGTTCATGGTAGTTTGAAGTTAGAAGTCAACTACCAATTGATAGACATTTTTGACGTATGGGTATACGTTGCCCAGGGTGCACCACGTGGAGGTAAGTCCATAGTTGGGTTCGGGTTCTACAGATAAGAAAGAATCGTTAATTACTGCTATATGTCCTAAAGTTGTGTCAGGCAAGTCCGCCAAGAAGGCATCGAAGGTGAAGGTGCTAAAGACGAAAAGACGAAGAGGAGAAGGAAGGAGAGTTATGCTATCTACATATATAAGGTGCTGCATCAGGTTCATCTGGACACAGGCATCGCCTCGAAGGCCATGTCCATCATGAACTCTTTCGTGAATGACATCTTCGAGCTTAATGCCGCCGACTCGAGTCGATTGGCACACTACAACAAGAAGTCCACCAACACAAGTCGCGGGATTCAGACAGCAGC